AGCCTGAGAGGCAGATGTCAAGGAGAAAAGAGAAAAAAAAGACAAAAATGACAGAGAACACAAGAAAGAAGAAGCAGTGGACAGTGATACATTGAAGACAACAGCCAGGAAACAAGATACTTCATGCTTCGTAGAGTGACGACTTAATTTATTTGAGTCAATTAGACAAAATATGGGCTCGGTAAAAAAAAAAATATATATATATATATATATATATATATATATATATATATATATATATATATATATATATATATATATATATATATATATATATATATATATATATATATATATATATATATATATAAATCACAATATAGAAGATCTCATCATGAAATATGTTACATTGCTTTATGATAAGGCCAGCGCAGAGAGTCTTATGACACACACACATGCATTCACAGTGACGAAATGGCTAATTATAGGTTTGGAGGAGTGTAGAGATCACTATTGTCTGAAGGCGTGCTGACAGTCAGCAATGGCTAGATGGAGGAGATATATATTCGTTTCAAAGCAGGAATGTCTTGGGAATCACATGGCAAAGGGTGCATGGAGAACCCAAGCCCTCCTGCTGAAATGGCCCATTAATCATACAGGCGCTTTTCGAGATGTGTGTTCAGTTATGGAAATGCCAATACGCCACGCTGTATCACTTACCCCAGTGTCATCTGATTAATGTAATTGAAAGGGCGTGCGAGTGTTTGTTTTTCTCCTTCCTCGGATCTTAATGGCAGCCTGTTGGTCCCGTACTGAGTGGCGCAAATAGGTACACTATCGATTTGGGAAAAGGAGAGTGTGAGATAATCACTAACTTTGATTTATGGAACAATAGGAACAGAACAGTACAGGGCAAAATGAGTTTGTGGGACGCAACAACTGTAATTGATTGCAATCGATAAGTGTTATTGATTAACCCGTGGCCCTGATGGCCCGTTCTGAAACTGTTTTTCGATGCGGTTATAATCTTATAGACTCTCTACAATGACGAGTAATCAGGTAAATGAGTACATTTTCAAGTGGAACCATAGCCTATGCCATTTTTGCGTGCATGTGTGTTTGGTCATGTCTGTAACTATAGAGTAGTTCATTCATTCATTTTCTTTTCGGCTTAATAAGGGGTCGCCACAGCGGAATGAACCGCCAACTTATCCAGCATATGTTTTACACTGCAGCCGCAACCCAGCACTGTGAAACCCACACACTTGCATTCACACTCATACACTACGGCCAATTTAGCTCATTCAATTCACCTATAGCGTATATCTTTGGCCTATGGGGGAAACCAGAGCACCTGGAGGAAACCCACGTGAACACAAGGAGAACATGCAAACTCCACACAGAAATGCCAACTGGTCCAGCTGGGGCTCGAACCAGTGACCTTCTTGTTATGACAGAGTTACCCACTATGCCACTGTGTTGCTCTAGAGTAATTCAGTGCCCAAAAATAAAAAAAAATTACTCTCAATTTACTCATCCTCGAGTGGTTCCAAATTAGTTACGGGTTTTGCTTTTTTGTTGAACACCTGAGAGGATATTTTGGAGAATGTTGGAAATTGGTAGTCAATGACTTTCATAGTAAATAATAAAAATACTGAGGAAGACAATAGCTATCACTTATCATCAGTCTACAACAGGGGTGTCCAAACTCGCACCTCGAGAGCTGGTGTCCTGGAGAGTTTACCTCCAACCCTAATTAAACATGCCTGAACCAGCTAATCAAGGTCTTACTACAGATAAAAAAATTCTGGCAGGTGTGTTGAAGCAAGTTGGAAGTCAACTCAGCAGGAGTTTAGACGAGTTTAGGGGGGGTTGGGGCTTTTTGGAATGATAAAAGAGTGGGTGGATTATGACATCATTTTCATTTTTGGGTGCGATGTGTGGCTTTATGGCCAATTCAAACCACACCAACAAAGGTAATCATCAGCATGTTACTTCTTAGATTTTCTCTGACCAGACAAGCCTAAGTCAACAAGTTCAATTGGCAAAACACGGTACATGGATCAAACTAAACCAAGTGTCTGTTGCCATCTATCTGTATCTGTTGTTGCAGTGTGAACTTGGCTTTAACTTGGAAACGTGATATTTTGGGCGACACGGTGGCTTATTGGTTAGCACTGTCGCTTCACAGCAAGAAGCTTGCTGGTTCGAGTCCCAACTGGGTCAGTTGGTATTTCTGTGTGGAGTTTGCATGTTCTCCCCATGTCCATGTGGGTTTCCTCGGGGTGCTCCGGTTTCCCCCACAGTCCAAAGACATGCAGTAAAATTAATAAACTAAATTGGTCGTAGTGTATGCATATTAGTGTGGATGGATGTTTCCCAGTACTGGGTTGCAGCTGGAAGGGCATCCGCTGTGTAAAATATATACTGGATAAGTTGGCAGTTAATTTCGCTGTCGCGACCCCTGATTAATAAAGGGACTTAGCTGAAGAAAAATTAATTCATAAATTAACATTAGATTTTGTGACCTGTCAGGCCCGAAAACTGCATCACTAAATGATGACATTATGAAGTATGGGCAAAACTCTTTTCTACAATGGCTGCTTTTCCCAGCATTCTTTAGAATTTTTTTGTGTGAGTGTGTTGAACAGAAGAAAAAATGTCAACTTCATTTTACATATCAATTCACCTACATGTTTCTGGACTTTGGGGGAAACCGGAGCACCTGGAGGACACCAACATGAACAGGGCGAAAACATTCAAAACTTCACACAGAAACGCCAATTGACCCTGCCGGAGCTCAAACCAGCGACCTTCTTGATGTGAGGTGACAGTGCTAACGTCTCTGGCCCTCGTACACTGCAAAAAATGTTTTTCTTGTTTAGATTTTTTGTCTTGTTTCTAGTCCAAATATTTAAAAATTCCTAAATTAAGAAGAATTTAATTAAGAATAATTAAGAATAAATTAAGAATAATATGCCAATATTAAGTGAGTTTTTCCTTAAAACAAGCAAAATAATCTGCCAATGGGGTAAGCAAAATAATCTTACGTCAAAAGTAAAAACAAAATTAATTTGCTTACCCCATTGGCAGACTATTTCACTTGTTTTAAGGAAAAACTCACTTAATATTGGCATATTATTTCTCAAAACAAGACAATATGTTTTGCTTGTCAAGAAAATTCTTCTTGATATAAGAAATTTTAGATATTTAGACTAGAAACAAGACAAAAAATCTAAACAAGAAAAGCATTTTTTTCAGTGTAAACATGTATCACTGAAATATTTTGTCATTTCAAGAACAACCAAAATTATGTAAGTATTCTCTACTTTATAGTATAAAAAAGTACATCAAAAGTGTGGTATATCCAAATATAAAAAGCAAAATCTATGCAACGAGGAGCTGCCAGGGCCCAAAAGAGCCTCCTATAAAAACAAACTATAAAACATTTACATTTAAAAAATGGTGCCAAACTTTATGAATTTGTTGAATAAATCTCGTTTTTGCAATATTTTAGATTCTCGTAGAGATTTACTGAAAGTGAACAAAATTATTTTCATCAATCAATACCATTAAACGATTAAGCCACGTTTCACTTTGTTTCTTGTGTATTTGGTGTTGGCAAATTCTCCTGTGTTACAAAACCACACTCTAGTGTCCAACCACTGTCATTACATTTTCTTTACCTATGATAAGGAAGTTAACCACAAACCTGTAACACGCAGAGATGCGCAAGATGTAACATGAGACACACAAACAGCGTTCACTCACTGTCAGGTCTTGATTCCTTTTCCGCGTGTGTTTGAAGCGGTTGTTTACTCGCTGTTTTATCCGTCTGACAGATTGCAGAGCCATTTGAGACAAATTACTTTTGCAGTAACAAGTTTATTAAAATGACCAGAAAACTGGACCGCTGAGTAATAGACAAAGTGTAGCCTGCTTACTCTTAAATGGATATAGATTAACCGTATGGAAAATATCTACGTCATGAAAATAATTACAAAACAATGCGAACAGCGACTCCTACTGGTTTAGTGATCCATGTCGTAAAACAATTAGGTGCAATTCACCTTCTTAAACTGAGGAGGGCAGCGCATCCTTGATTTTCTTTCCCCTATAATGTAATTAAAATGAACCAAATATTGTGAATTATTTTAAAATAAACGTAATACACAACCTGTTGTAACTTGCGGAAGCAGAAAGAAATGATTATGAACCCCAAAAAGGCTTATATTATTAATAGTTATATTTAAAGCTTATGTATAAATACATGTACTTTATCCAGTTTAAAACTAGAATCTCCTAAAATGCATAAAAGACTGAGTCCCGCTGTATTACTCAGGCTGCACTGCAGTGTCTATTCACAGGCGCGATCCCACTACTGATCGGCACGGGGGCTTTGACCTGCTCCGTCTCCGACCTGGGCCGGTTCACCCCTCCTTAGACGACCTGGTAGTCCAAGGCTCCCCCAGGAGCACCATATCGATACCGAACTTAGTGCGGACACCCGATCGGCATAGTCCACTGCAGCCCAGAACCCCTGAGCTCAAGCGGTCCGCCAGCCTCAGCCTCCCAGTAGCTTGGATTACAGGCGCACGCCACTGCGCCCGGCGAATGAACAGAGGATCTGAGCTGTTCTTCAATGTTACTGTGTGCTGGAGTGGATGGCGCCATCTAGTGGTGTAGAAAATGAACAACAGCAGCTCTTACTGCTGCAAACCCCGCTTTACATAGAGTCAGTTCATAAAGGATGCTTGTTTGTGGGCTATTGTAAAATAAACTCTTATATGTTTATTATTATTTATGGCGTAAACAATAATGTAAGTGGAAAAACATCGTTTAGAGTAAAACGTAAGCAAAAATGACTTTTATTGTGGTATCCCATGTCGGGTCTCTTTATGAAAATCATATGGATGATTAAAAAACGACATAAGTATAAATTTACAATATCAAACAATTAATTTGATCTGCATTTTGTACGAGTGAAAGGAACCATGTAACAAGTTGAATGTTTTTTTTTTACTTTTGTTTTGAAACGCAGTGTTTCCGGTAGCCACTACGCACAGGGGAAGTGACTCACTCTCCAGGCTTGAGACAAAATGGCTCCGATTAGAGTGTTGTCACTTGTTCTCCCCATCTTGTCAACTGTACCGTTGTTATTGACACAATTTGGCGAATGCAATAATGGTCGAAGGGTAAGATGATTGTGTCTGATACACCTCGCAGTCACAAAATCTGTATTTTACATGGCATTGCAGATGACTTGCACAGGGAGCTTGTTAGCATGCTAGACTGCTGTCTAACGTTAATCAGATGAATATGATTGAATGTCAGTTACTTTATCTGTCTGTTAGTCAGGAGACGCGGTGGACACTGATTTCAGCGGATTCTCGGTGCCATTAGAGCACTCGTTTGAAGTGGGTGAGTACAAGTTAGTCAATGAAAAGGCTTTTTGTGAATAAATTGTTGGTCTCTTTTTAGTGCAAGTGAGTCACTAACGTTATTGGTCTGTGTTTCAGATGATGTGCCAAGATTTCGACTTCGTGGTGCTCTACAGTTCAGGGGTGGGAGGGAAAACAGTGTGTATCTCTCACAAAACCAGCTCTCAGAGAAAGACAGGAATACACTGAAGGTGAGGACATGCCATTGAGACAAAGTTGGTTTTATATTCGCACATTCAGACCTTCTTAACAATATAATTTCAGAAAAGTATTCTATGCAAGTAAATAAATAGTAAAGTCATACTAGCAGTCAATGACTTTTGAAGTTCAACACTGTTCACAGCCAAATAAATAATGCTAATGTTGTTTTGAAGTCATACTTGCATGTGATTTCAGACCGAATATTTGAAGTAGCAAAGCAATAGAGCAGCCTTGTCACAAGTTGTCACTAAACAATTGTGCGAACATAAAACCAACTTTACCTCAATGAACATGCAATGAAGGAAAACTCTGATTTAATATTATTTTTTTAATGGTTGTCCAGGAAAGGCTGTCAATTTGAAATGTTCTAACTCTGTTTCACTGGTATAATTTTGTGTTTCTCTACCTGTGTTTTTCAGGACGTGGCAGCAGTTGACGGTTTGTACAGGATCCGGGTCCCAAGGGTCTCTCTACAGGTGGATCGGCAGACAGAGAGACAGTATGAAGGTTACCTTACCGCATTCGTTAGAGCTGTAAGTCAACTGCATGCACATACCTGCACAAAAATTTTACCAGCATTAAAAAGACCTGCAGATTAATACATTTTTTTGTCTTTTCTAAATTTCTAAAGATTTCTACATTTAGCATTATCAGCAACAGTAGTAGTAACAGTGCATTTTTCTCAATGTTGAATATTTTACAATATTCAGCTAATTATTTCTTAATTTTAATAAATTACAAGTTCTGAGTTCTATATGTTAAAACCAAAAGTTTCTTCCAGTGCTGTTTTTGTAATAAATGGAAAGCAAATTACATTTGTCTCCTCCCATTTTTGACCCCAAAAATGGGCCGATCTGTGACCAGAAAATACATAATAGGATTCGAAACATAGAACTATGATTTGTTACACCACTATGATGTATACATTATGCATGCGAAAATACAATTGAAAAGGTTGTGGTGGGACCTTTCTTAGGTTATTTATTAAAGGTGTTTTCTATCACTGTTTAGCCTGCTATAATGCTTTCAGTGTAAAGCTGCACATAAACATTAAAAGATTGTTATCTCAATTCAAACCCGCACAACATGAATGATAAATGATAATGCTTTGCATATGTTTATTAATCCTTCAAAACGACACATTCAAATTGGCGTTTGATCAAGACATATTCAGTTTTTCCACTTTTTTCGGTTTGTTAAAAAAATTAAATAACACAGAGGTACTGGGAGAACAGTTTATAGTGTTAGATGAAAACACTGTTTATGGTAAAAATTAAAGTCACCGTTTAATGGAACTTGACGCTGGTAAATGTTGTAGCATTTACATTGTTTAAGAAATGGGTGGCGACAAAATCAAGCCATCAAAATTGTGTCACTGAATAGGTTTTCTAAAATGATCCACCAATAATGAAACATGAAGTTTTATGTGTGAATTGTTTAATAGTTAATTGAAAATCTATAAGTTGTACAAGATGTTAGATTTCTATATTTAGCATTATCAGCAACAGTAGCAAAAATAATTTTTCGTATTGAATATTTTCCTTTTCAGCTAGTTCTTTCTTGATTTTTATTTTTATTCAAAATACATGTTCTAAGTCTGTTTGTTTAAGCCAGAGTTTTTTGCAGTCAGTAATATTTTTGTTTAAATGAAAAGCAAATGACATTTGTCATCTCCTTTTTTTTTTCCTGATTTGAAAAATGGTCTGATCCGTGACTCAAAAACCATAGTGTGATCTGTGATCTGTTACACCACTAATAATTATACACAACATTACTATTTTTTTCTGTATTTGAGATCAAATAAATGGTGAGAAAAGAGAATTTGAAAAACATCTCACTGACCCCAAATTCTGAAGCATTAGTCAATTGTAAATCTTATACATCTTTTTTTCCAGTGCGCTCTGGTGGAGTCCCACCTCAGTGATGTCATCACCCTCCACACCGATGTCAGCGGATATGTCATTGGCATTTCTATAGTGACGATCCCTGGGTCTTGTCGTGGGATAGAGGTGGAGGATGAGGTTGACCTGGAAGTCTTTAACACAACAATAAGCGTCATGGCACCCGTCACTGCACCTGTGTGAGTGTTTTTGCATGTACACACACTCTCTCACATATACATGCTAAAAGTATTCAGGCAGCCTGGACGTGTTACCTTTTCCCATATGGTATCAAGTTGTGTTCAGACATGGCTCTTGAGACAATTTTTATTTGGATTTTGTCGAGACCCCTCTGTCTTATTTTAATAAATTGTCTTTCCCTTTTTCGGGAAGTCCACTGTTCAGTGCACTAATACAGTTAAATAGACAAACTCATGTTTACAAGCATTCACTCAAAGTAAAGATGTGGCTGTCAGCTATAATTTTTTCTCAGTCTGTTTGGTACAATATACTAAAGTATTAATATATCAAAATATTAATATAATGAAGTATGATTAATATGTATGCTGTCTCACAATGTTTCTTAAAGATCATATGTTAGATCAGTAGGCAACATCTCTTAAAATAGATAATTATTGAATTAGGTATGTAAATATCGAACCCATAAATCACATTGTCAGAATATTTATTATTAGATCATTTGAATAGTTATCTCTCTTGTCTCTTATTTAGACCTGAAACAGCCCCTTATATTGAAAGGATGGAAATGGAAATGGAAAAGAAAGGCAAAAACCCACAAGAGCAGAAATCCTTCTTTGCCAAATATGTGAGTATATATTATTATTATTATTATTTATTATTATCACTATTATTCAAAATAATGTATCATTAGATTGAATTGAATTTTTTAACATCACATTATGGTATGTTCATACAAGTGTTTGCATTTATCTGATGATTAATTTAATAATAATTCCCAGCTATCTAGGAAAGAAGTTACATTTTATTAATTTAATAAATTGCATTAACATCCTCTCGTCCTTTGTTTTACCTCCTTTCATGGAATAACTCCTTTCTAAATGGCCTCTTCCTGCTAATAGTTCTCCTGTGTTTCTTTTCAAGTTTTTTTTGTGTGTTATCTTGTGTTTTGTACTAGTGGACTGCAGTTTTAAGCTCAACGTTTACTTAATTGTTTTAACCTTATGCGTATATGGGTATTCTTGCTCATTCAAACCCACATCCTTTCAAACCTAAATCACCATGTTGTGCATTTACAGTACACTGGTATTCCACTAATGCTAAAATTAGTATAACACGCAAGGAATGCAGACTATAGCACTGGCATAGAAACTATCAAATTATACAAAGCTTATAATGACACCAATACAGATTATGTGCATATTCTTATTAATATTTAATTGAACATACCTGAACTGAACACATTTTATTTGTAACTCGGTAAATAATGTAATTTGGCTTTAATCTGTAATTTATGTCATCTTTAAAAATAATAAGGTATTGAAAATTAGTTCTTCATGTAAGTTTAATCCAGACCACAGCAACATCAATAATAATGTTATCAAATAAACATTATAAAGTCTACTCAATGAAATATAGTAATTAATTTTAAACTACAGTTTCACATGGTTTATATTGTTTAAATGGCTAAAAAAATAATGTAACTTATTTTTGGGAATAAATATATACATTCTCTAGAACAGAGGTGTCCAAGCATTTTTTTATGAAGGGCCAAAAACCAAACTTGATTGAGGGTGGTGCACCGAGCTGAATATATAACAAACTGTATTACATTCAAGTTGCCATGGTAACCTCCTAATTTAATAATATTTAAAAAATAATTAGAAAAAAATTATATTAATAATGACAATAACAAAATTCTAACTTTTTTTTTTACATTTTATACTCTTTTGTACATTTTATACTATACTTATAATAAAACCATAAACAATCTAATTATAACACAATGGAGTTCAACGATAAATAAAAAAAGATTTACAAAAATAACCATTTTTCACTTGATAGTAAAATTTTTGTCCTGTGTGGTTTAAGCAATGTGCCACACACATATACTGTATATGTCAACATCTAAAAAAATGTGTTTAAGGGTTTCATGACCCTTTAAAAAATCTGATGAATTCATTTATTTGCATTTATTTTAAACATGTAATTTCACTTTGCTTTTTTGTAGTTCATCAATTAAACAAACAAACAAACATTCGGTCATGTTAAATTAGAATGACGATCTCTGCTGAAAGCATTCGCCCCAACCATCCACATTATTCTTCCTCTCTTCTCAGATGGGATGGCAGGCCAAATCAAAGGTTACCATGGGCCAACTTTGGGCAACCCTAGTTTGGGCATCTCTGCTCTAGAATGTATAAAACAAAACAGTAAATACGCTCATGTAACATATTATATGCTCCATAACAGGGGTCCTCAAACTTTTTTTTTTTCATTAAGTACCACCTCAGAAAAAAATTGTCTCTCCAAGTACCGCCATAATGAGTAGTATTGAAATACAGTAGCGTAGTAAGCCCAGTAAAGCAGCTACAGCTCTGTACAGTTCAAAAACATGGCAGATTAATCCCTATTATTAAGAATATTTATTATTGTCCGCCACTTTAAACATAAATAGTCTGAAAGTTAACATTGTACTGTGCTTAAATGTAAAAAAAACAAACTAAAAACATCAACATTTAAATTAAAATGTGCTTAGGATAAAAAGAAATGTGCTGTACTAAAGTATTAGCATATAGTAGCCAATTCATCAACACCTGAAAATGTTGCCTGGACCTCAGAAATACAGGCTATATGTCATATAATGAATATTATTATATGTCATATTCATACATAAATCATTTTTGATAAATTTTGAAATGTATGTAGCATATTTGACATATTTGATTCCTCCACGTACCACTAGAAGGAAGCCCGTGTACCACAGTTTGAGAACCACTGCTCTATAATAAGTGGCACAGCATAATGGAATCGTTAATAATGAAAATCTACCCCATATTATAAAACCAATAGCTGACTATCAGTAAAGCTAATTTGAGGCCAAAAACAAAAGATGTATTCGGCACTTGTTCTAAATCTATATTGAGTTTCTTTCTTCTGTTGGACACAAATGAAGATAATTTGAAGAACTTTGTAAACCAGAAGCTTTTGACTTCCATAGTATTTTTATATGGATGTCATTGTCTACCATTTCCAGCATTCTTTAATCTTATTTTGCATCCAACTGAAAAAAGTAAACTCACAAAAGTTTGGATCCACTTGTAGAGGATTAAATATTCATTATTTAAGTCAGCAGTCCCTTTAAAACTGAAGTACACTTTGGGCTTTTCTATGTTTTTGTGTGTTGTATTATGAGCTAACCATTTTTTCACTTGCTGCTCTGCTCCATGTTGAAGTTGCTGGTCTGTTCTGCCCAGTTGTGTGTGTTTGTGTAAACGCTTACCATCTTTAACATCTCACTTTTTTGTGACTGAAATCCTAATTCTCTAGCAGCGCGTGTCGCGGTCAGCTGTTCTGCATTTACTGTGCTGTGTCTGTGTTGACTTTGTGTCGGTCTGTGCTGTGTTTCCAGTGGTATTTGATTCTGGGAGGTGCAGTGTTCCTCATGGCCACCAGTTCAGCACAGACCCCACCAGGGGGCGCCAGAGAGCAGAGCTGATTTCCATTCATTTCAAGTACTGAAATCTCATTTAGCCTACTTGGTTACTCTGTCACTCCAGCCACATTTTTCATTATGTGTGTGTGTGTGTGTGGGCCTGCACACGCACCCACATGCATACAAACTCAAATCCTCTGACCGTTCCTCTGTTTCAGCTTGGTGTTTAATTGTTTGTGTGCTTTTTTTTGTGTACATTTCCTGCTGGGTCATGATCAAATCAGTGGTGTTTTGTTTAAATATGATCTTTCTGACACAAAATCAGGTTGATGGGTAATATTAGCTGCTCAGAGATGTTCATGACCCACTCTGCTTGCTTCAATCCTCCCTGTTCTTTCAGTCTCATTTCTCCTGGTTTCTCCCTCCTATTTGCGAAGTCCTTTGTCAGCGGAAGTAAGTGGCGGAGGTCGGATAAAGAGAGAGTAAGGAAGGATGAAACTGAAAATGATTTTGCTTGGGAAAACTTTGCCAATTAATTGAATGGGCTGTTAATTGTTGTCCTGCTCCTAATCACTGACTCTGGAGAGGAACCGTCGTAGGTTGTTTCTCAAAAGTGTGTTTAAAGCTTCTGTTGTGTTTGTCTTTTTTTCCAGTGGATGTATATTGTCCCGCTTGTTCTATTCCTGATGATGTCAGGAGCTCAGGATCAGTCCGGAGGCGGAGCTGGAGGAGGGGCGGCCAATGGAGGAGGACGATGATTTCCATGGCAACAAAAACTCCTGTGTTGTACATAATAATTTAAAGCAGATTTTGAGTTCATTGAGACACAGAATAATATGTATACGATCACAATTGAAGGATTGTTGTAGAGAAATAACGATTGAAAAGCTTAACTTATGACTGCATTCTTGATTTGCGTTTTTACTACTGATTTAATAAAATAATGATGACCGGTAAAGTGTCTGTGTAGTTATTTCATTTTAGTGATGGCAAACATATTATACAGTTGTTTTATTTGAAAATGAAAATTTGCTATTGGTTTACTCTCTCTCAGACTATTAAAGATATTGAACTTTTTTTTTTGTTTTTGTTTTTTTTTAGCTTAAATGGGAAGTTTATATATTTCATACACAATGATAATGCAAAATGCTTTACGTAAACAAGAAAAAAAGTAATCACAAAATACAAATATAGGAAGTAAAGAAAACAAAGACGCCTCAGCAAGAAGGTCACTTGTTCGAGCTTCGGCTGGGTCTGTTGGCGTTTTTGTGTGGAGTTTGCATGTTCACCCTGCATTCTCATGGGCTTCCTCCGGGCGCTCCGTTTCCCCCACAGCCCAAAGACATGCGGTACAGGTGAATTGGGTAGGCTAAATAGTCCGTAGTGTATGAGTGTGTATGGATGTTTCCCAGAGATAGGTTGCAGCTGGAAGGGCATCCGCTGCATAAAAACATGCTGGATGAGTTGGTGGTTCGTTTCACTTTGGCGACCCCAGATTAATAAAGGGACAAAGCCGAAAATAAAATGAATGAAATCAGATTTTAAAGAAATACAAAAAAAAAGACAATAGTGCGTGTATTACCAATAGGTTAAAATAACATTAAGCCTATTATAAATGAACGTTACACGATAATAAGATGACTAATTGAGATGTTATTACTATTATTAATAATAAGTCTTATTTGTATATTAAATATACTCAGGCATCAAACTATAAAATAGTCAAATAAAGCAAAGTAAAATACTGATGGCCCACCCATGATGGTCCTTGGTGAATGATACAAATTGAATGCTACAGTTTCGTTGCCAGTAAAAAAAAAAAAAAAAAAAAAAAACATAAATCATGCAAGCAAATCAATATTACTATTTGTTGCTCATGATGATACATTGAGGTCCTATGATTTGTCTGTCAGAAAGAAACTGAATATTATTTGCAACTTTATGACATAATCAGGGCCAGACAATATCTGCTGACTTTTTATGCCGAATTTTGTACAAAAGCTGCAGATTTATGTGGGAGGATTTTGAGAGTACAGTAACTAAAAGCTGAAAACATGAAACCAAAAAAGCAATAACTTTTAAACTTCTACTTTAGGTTTACAACACAAATGCCATTAGATCCATCTGTTTGCCTAACAAAGCAAGTCTTGTATCTACTAAAATACAGAAAATATTACTTTACAAACATTTGCAAATTAGTTAATATAGAACTAATATGAAATTAATGAAAAAACCGAATCAATATACATTTACATAATATATGGATTCAATGATTGGCTAGTCATAAACACAGTCACAAATTGAATAGTTGGAGGGTGAAAATTAACTTCAAATTTCATTTTGGATAAAGCTTTAACAACACAAGCACTTTATTTCTGTATCTAGGGACATGTGTTGATTTGTTAAGAATCAATGCTGGTGTATTGATTCAATACCATTCTTTTCTAAACCTCGATTCAATAAATAAGGAGGCATTTATTGTAAATCCCATTATCTGTTCATATTGCAGTATGACCCTAATATGCCACTGTATTACGGCAAGGAAAATGTAATGGCAATATTTGGCTTTCAATAGAAGTCATTATAGTAGAGTAAAAGCTGTAACATCCCAACGCAATGGGCATAGATGAAGGCAAGGTATTGTCATTAAAACATTAAAGTGCACAGTTTCAGCCAGAAAAGTAAAACTTAATTTGTTTTGAGACAGACACTAGACCAGGGGTGGAAAAACTCGGTCCTGGAGGGCCGGTGTCCTGCAGACTTTTGCTCCAACACTAATCAAGCACACCTAAACATGCTAATCAGTGTATTCAAGATCACTAGAAATCTATAAGCAGGTGTGTTTGATAGGAGTTGGAGCTAAACTGTGTGGGACACCGGCCCTCCAGGACCCAGTTTGCCCACCCCTGCACTAGACCTATTATAAGTGAAGTGTGCATTGTGAGGTTTGTAGTATTCACACTGGCATTTAACTGGTTGGGAAAAAATTTACATTGTGTTCAATATTTTTCTTTAGCAAGATAATATATATATATATATATATATATATATATATATATATATATATATATATATATATATATATATATATATATATATATATATTTCCAACAGAAAAACTGCAGTGCAACATGGACAACAGTTTTTGTTACATTCTAACAAATGCTTACAAAAGCTTCAAAGCAAAGACAAAAATCAAAGGAGATTATAAAAACAAATTTAAAAAAGACATAGTTATTGAGTATTTTCAAGAAAAATCCAGAAGGACCAAGTGCACCAGAACACCTCAGATCTTTGATGTAGATCATAAGTCAGTTTTTCCCGTAATAGGAGTCTGATTGCCTGACTCCACATGTTGACGGAAGGTATCTGCGCAGTTGACCACAATAACAATATACATTTTTTGGCAAAGTATATTCAAAAATCCAATACACATTTTTTGTCATGATCAAGACACAGTTCTGATGTACAATTCAGAAGGTAATGGGGACAGAGAAAAGTCTTTCCAATGATTTTTTAAATCATTTTCTGAATCTTTTTCCAGGACATTTTGATTTTGTCACAGTCCCAAAATACATGCATCACTGTGCCAGTGTCTAACTTACATTTGAAACATAGCTGGGAACATTTGAGAAATATTCTATGGAGGCAAACTGGGGTTAGATAAACCCTGTGATTACATTTATAATTTTGCTCATGAACCAAAATTGAAGTACTTTTGGGATAGATATTTGAGCAGGCAGATAGCCACTCCTGATCACTAAAACTAGAACTCAGATCGAGCATGGTCATATTAAATTGATTAATTCGTCCTTTACAGCAGTGTTTCCCAACCATGTTCCTATAGGCACATCAACAGTACATAGTTTGGATGTCACCCTAATCTGACCCATTCATTTCAGGATTTAGAGTCTTTTATATGTTCTGATGAGTTGATTCTGCTTTGTTTGATTAGGAAGAGATTGAAAATGTGTACTTTTGGTGTGCTTTTAGGAACTGGGTTGGGAAACATTGCAATACAGTAAATTATGTCTAATATTGGAAAACATTTGTTTCAAATAAATGCTGTACTCTCTATTCGCTGTCTAAAATAATAAAGTGGCACTATTTCCATGGTTCCAGCAGCAGCACAACTGTTTTAACTATGATGATAGATTCTAGGGACTGGAGTGAAAACGTAATGACTGGACTGAGTAACAACAACTTGAAAATTCAGTTTTCCATCAAAGGAATAAATGTAACACTGATAAGCAAACTCATTATCACCAGTCACAGGAGTTAAGATCAATCAATTGATCGGTTTTTAACAAACCCATTTATGACTATTATATGGTAAGCAATGGGTTTTTGCAACTGCAGAAACAATTTACCAGAAAAATGATTGCCTTGGCTGAATTTGAGCATTGAGATGTGCTGGACTAAAAAAAAAAAAGTTCTACTCACGTCATTTCCACCTCGCAACCCAAAGACTTGAATGATCTGCTGCTAATGTCTTGGTGCCAGATATCGCAGGGCACATTCAAGGATCTTGTAGGATCCGAGCCTCAGTGGGTTGCCTCTATTTTGGCAGCTAGAAAGGAACAGTATAGGCAGGTCATAGACCATATAATGTTTTGCTCATTTGTGTTTGTTAAAGTAGATACGTTAGTTCACCCCCAAAACAGACATTAATTCACCAATGCTATTAATTACTCACCCAAATGTTGTTTCAATCCCCTGAGTGCTTCATTATCCTGCATAGATATCAATGGCCCTGAGTTATTCAAAGATCAGAAATCAAAAATATTGGCAAAACATTCCTTGTGACTTTAGTGGTTTCAACTGTAATTATACAGAGCTCCAGGACCATTTTTTATGCCAAAATGGCCAATGTCTTTCCACATCAGATAAGGCCCTGTGTTCACTACAGGCAAAATACTGTCTTTTGAAAGTTGTTGTAGGCAACAAACTGAGACAGTAGCTATGTTTCTGTTCAAACATGCAAATTAGACTTGTGTGCAAGACTTAAATATTGCATAAGACACTTCAAATTGAATAAATGAATGAAAGTTTCCATCATAGGCTAGTACGCACATTATTTCATATTTGTATGAAATAAGTGGTCCCACTTTATATTAGATGGCCTTAACTAATATGTACTTACATAGGAACTAATAGTTTGTTACAATGTACTTATTGTGTAAGCACATGTATTTACTGTATACTTATGCTTGATTAAATACATGTATGTAATTACATCTGTAAATAACTTTTGTAAATACACTGTTTACCATCCCTTACACCTCAACCCACCCTTAAACCTACCCATGCCACCAAACCTGTCCATAACCCAACCTCTATCCCAACTCAAAAGCACCACAAGTGTTCTCAAATACATTATAAACACAGCAAGTACATTGTATTTATTTGTTGGATGTAAGTACATAGTAGTTAAGGACACTTAATATAAAGTGGGACCAAATAAGTTTATCCTTCTCAGTTTAAGTGAAATCTTTGGGAATCTTGGTGACTTCATTGGTGACTGGGTTTTATGAATTATTTCAGGAGAATGTAATAAGAGTAAGTTTGACAATCAACAGAACAGTATTAATAAGACAGTACTTCACAGGCTTTGCTCAAAATATTCGTTCTTTTTTCAGTTGTTCATGGGCCCAGTTGGTTGAGATTAATCATCAAAGCTTGACCTTCAAGAGGCATGGCACTTCTCCGAGATTTTATCCATGCATTCACTGCCCATCGTTGCTTCATAAAACATTGCTAATCACATGGCTATTAGCGTGTGTGCTGTAAACAGAAGCAAACTTGGGGATATAATGTTCTAGATATGCTCCATATGCTCATGTCCCCCTCTTTCTGAGGCTATCTTTGTCAGCTGTCAGTCATTCTCAGCTTGCGGTCCTGTTTGTCTTGGGTCTGTTCATGAGTAAGGGTGGCAGTATGTGGTAAATCTGGATCTTA